AGGTCTATGATTCATTTTGTTATTTTTTATGTATGATGTGAGGTAGAGGTCCAACGTTATTATTTTGGCATGTGAAGAAAAATCAACTGTTGAAAGAATTTTCACTAACGTTACAATATGCCATACATATAACTTAAAGGTATTTAGAGATTTATTCAACAAATATATGCAGCAAAATAGTATTTTGATATATGAACTGATAATTTTTCTTCCTCTAGTCCTGGATGGTGTGGCTCAGTTAGTAGGAATATTGTCCTGCACGCTGAGAGGTTGTGGGTTTGATCCCCAGGGCACATATCTAGGTGGAACATGTTGGGAGGCAATCAGTCAATGCTTCTCTCTCACACTGATGTTTCTCTGTCTCTGTCTCTCCTCTCCCATCTCTTTAAAATCAATGAAAATTCCCTCAGGAGAGGATTTTTCACCCTGTTTTTCCCCTTTCTTTCCTAACATTCAAGCAGAAGCAGGTTCCAGGCTTCCTTGCCTAGGAGAGGTTCATGGCAAGGTAGCTTTCTGGTTTTTGTTTTCTCAAACACCTAAATTCTAGGACCACAGATTCTCAGGGGGACTGCCCAATTATATTGTTCAGAAAAACAAGGAAGAACTGGTTTTTCTCTCTGCAGGGTAGAAAGGAAGTCCCCAGAAATGAAGGAAGAAGAAAAAGGTCCTGAGAGAGTTCTCAGACCCACTGCTGAGAGGAACAGCTGTGAGTGTAGCTATCACATAGGCACGCTTGGCCCAGATTCTCAACCCTAAGTCTGGGACCGGCAGTTCAGAATCACTAAACCATAATCCTATATAATAAAAGCCCAATATGCAAATTGTCCCCTCAAATGGGAGTTTGATTGCTTGCTATGATGTGTACTGACCACTAGGGGGCAGCATGGAACATGGCCGGTGGCTGTGGGGGCGCTGCCGGCCCAATGAGGGCGGAACCAGGGTGGGATGGTGGAGCAGATGAGCGGGTGTGAGTGGAGGCCCGATCTCCCTGCAGAAAGCGACTGATGGCTGCGGTGGTGGGCGGGCTGCCTCCCCACTCCCAGGTGCTGAGGGAGCCAGGCGAGGGGCAGGGTGGCGGGGGGTGGGGGGGCGGCCCCACTTGATCACCCTGCAGATGGGATGGGGGAGCGGGTTAGGGGTTGGCACCAGGTCACCTGAGGGACCCATGCACAAATTCATGCACTGGGCCTCTAGTCACTTATAAGCACAGGAACAATATGGAAACATCTGACCCAACATCCAATGGGATACCCCTCACTCACTTCCCCTAGGGGCATATCCTGAATGTCTGTGTGCCATGCAATCTAGGCATTACCCTGATACTATGGCATATCCTGAACAAGAGGCCATGACGAAACCCAAGAATTAAGGTTACGTTTTTTCCCCGCCAGCAAGACAAAATGGCAACTCAGAATAAGAAATTAGGTTTCTAGGGAACAGTGATATATGTCGTATGCTTGGTTCTATGGACTGTCATTTATACCTGCCACAAAAATATTAAGAATCTACCACCTACAGGAATCCTGCCAGGCTAACGTGGAGTGGGAAATGGAACAGTCATGGTTAGCCAAGGCATTTGTAATCTGGCAAGAGCAAACATGAATAAGGATAGCTGCCATTAATCACACACACTTGTGCCCGGCCGGTGTGGCTCAGTGGTTCAGTGTCAACCTATGAACCAGGAGGTCAGAGTTCAATTCCAGTCAGGGCACAGGCTGGAAATGTGGGGTTGATCCCTAGCAGGGGGTGTGCAGGAGGCAGCTGATCAATGTTTCTATCTCATCACTGATGTTTCTCTCTCTCTCTCCTCCCTTCCTCTCTGAAATCAGTAGAAATATATGTTTTTAAATTACACACACTTGTGTGCATAGCTTGTGCTACACTCTGTAGATGGCTCACATTTAATGGGGTCTGCCTCACCAAATGGGGCTGCCAGGTTCAGAGGAGGCCAGGGCTTGGCTAAGGATGCTCACTAGTAAGGGTAGGACTTGGCTGGGAACCACGGTGCACCTCACTCCAAGTCCATTCTCACTTTGAAGTAATGACCCTCCATGGAGGCCAGTCTGAGTGCGGTCCTTTGATAACCTGACATCCATCAGACCTAGGCTTTGGCTCATGTCCCTGAGTTGGGAGGGCTTAGGTCAAACCAATCTTCTCGAACTTGCTGTTCAATGCATCCGTGGGCAGAGGACTGGCCAGGACCCGAGGCTGGACAGGAGACACTGGCCAAATTGTCTCTTATGCTGTTGGGATTCAGACTTGCTGTATCAGGTGATTTTGAACAGTCCAGATTTTTATTTCCATTCACACCATTTTTATGTCCAGCAAAGAAGTGACACATCTGCTTTTGGGCAGAAATCTCCACTTTTCTATTTATGTGCAAAAGGAAGAATTTGGCTATTTGCAAAATGGAATTGTTTTTAATAGGGAAAAACCTCATAGAGCTGTTTTGCTTTGAGATATAGGCTCTTAACTTGGTGCCTAAGAAACTATTTTAAATTCTTGTCTGAAGCTTCCTAAAAACAATCAAAGGAGAACAAGCTGATTCTGGTAATGAAATATTAACAGCTTTTCCTTAAGTATTAATCTACTGAACAAACGTTGAGAATGAAAGAAGCTGGCATATTAATGTTGTGAGAGCCATGATTTACATTTTCTATTGCTGCTTCTGTTATCTGATCCTGGAAAAATGACCAAAACAAATTTAAAACCCTAAGGGGAAACATAATGAGCCATAGAGAGAAGTAAAAACAGAGAAATCTAACGTATCAGGGAACCATTGAACGTGCAGCTTCTCATACGCAAACCGGCCTCCGGAGCTGAGGGCCCGCGGGATCGGTCAGTCCAATGACCTTTTGTTACTGGGACGTTTGAGATCCCAGGAGGCGAAGTGACTTGTCCGATGTCATGTGTTCATCAGAATGCATAATATTGTAGTTCCACTGAACGGAAAGGTACTGACCTAAGGGTGAGAAGACTGCTGCTACTTCCCACTCAGTCACTGTTTTTGAAAATCCTTCCCTCTCTGGAGGGACTATAACTCTGAACATGACCATCAGTCGTTTTTGTTGTTTTTAGAAACTCCGTAACTTGCTTTGCAGTTGTAATGAAGAGGCAATGCGCATGGAGTTGGAGTGTGGGCTCTAGGCCAGCCGGCCGCCTCACAACCCCCTCTCTCACGGTGGGAGCCTGAACAGTGTCACTATCTGCCTCTGCAATGGGGTGAGCAGTGCCCTGCGCTGGCCCTCACGGCGGTTAGATGCAGTAATACGTCCCGGACTCAGCGCCGGCGGCACAGAGGCCGTGCCAGGGAGCCGAGAGGCCGGCTGGCAGCATCGGAGCACAAAGTACCCGAGCGGGGTCTGTGGGTTCAGAAGGCATCCCTTCTCTGGACAGAAGCAGCCCGAGTGCCAAGGCAGGCGGATCTCAGTCTCGTGGCTGCGTCCCACTTTCAACAAAAGAGAAACCATTTCCCAACCTCTGTCTTTGAGGCTCCAGGGCTGCGTGGAGGGCAGGCACCCTTCCGCTCTCCTTTCTCCCCTCATTTCTGCCGGAATGCAGAAGCAAGGGCCGGTGCCAGCCACCTCCGGTCATGTGGGGGCTAACACTTCCACCCGCTCAGTTCTGGACCCGATAGTTCAATGTCAGCAATCAGTGCTCTCCAGGCTTATTTCATGAGAAAAATAAACTCAATCATTAATAAACATTTTTAGCTACGATTATCAAAATGCAATCCTATCCCAAATACCCTCTAAAACTGATTTCTCTTTCCTGTCAATAAATATTTTCAGACCTGCCCAGGCGGCCACTCGCCCCAGCCCCTTTGAGGTGCTAGGTGAGAGTGTTACCGGCTGTCCCTGACACCTGCAGAATGTCCACTGCCCTGCAGTCCTTGCCGCTCAGTGTGCCCGTGGCCCCAGCGTGGTTGTCGGAGGAGCGGGCGGAAAGGCAGGGCCCGGCTGCACAGACCGGAGTCTGCTGTCCGGGAAGCCGTGTGGCCGGGCAGTGCCCACCCCAGTGCTCGCATGCAGAGCAGAACGGCGGTAATGAAGTCCCAGGCCTCGTTCTGCCCTCACTGGCGGCATTCGGGGTGCAGTGGAACAGGAGACAGACATGGTCCCTGGCCTTCATGGAGCTGAGACTAGTTGGAAGATAAGACTTTTAAAATAAACTAAAACATGTAATGGTAAATGGTAAGTGCTATGAAGGAAATGAATGGGCAGTGCACAGAGGAGAACAGACTGGTCACAAGGACAGCTCAGCCCTGGCCCGTGGCTCAGTGGTTAGAGCCTCGCCCACCGCCCTGGACCAGGGAGGTCAGGCCCAGCGGTATCAACCTCAGCGCGCGGCTCCCGGCTCCCCGCCGGGCCTCAGGGGCTGCCGGCTCCGGCACGCAGGGGCTCCGCCCGGAACCCTCCGCCGTCACCGGGGGCATCGCCGTGGCCTCCAGCCAGCGCCGGGCCGACCTGCGCCCCGCGGCGGCGCTCACCGCCATTCGCTCTCGGCGGAAGCTCATCGCGGACCCTCCGGCCCCGGACCGGCCGGCCGGGCAGCCGCCGCCCCACCCGCGCGGCCGCCGCGACCCCCGGGCCCGCCGCCGCGACCGTTACCTGCGCCGAACGCCGGCCGCCCCGCGCGTCCCGGCCGCTCCTCCCGCGGCTCCGGCCCCGCGGCGCCCCCAGCCCGGCGGCGGCGGCGGCTGCGCCCGGGAGGGGAGGGGGCGCGGCGGCGGGGGCAGAGCGGGAGGCGCGGCGGCGGCGGCGGCGGCGGCGGCGGGGCCTGTCCGCGCGGAGCCCGCGGAGCCGGCGCCCGAGGCGCGGGGCGCGGCCGTCCCCCCGCGCGGCGCTCCCGAGATGGCGGCGGCGGCGGCGGCGGCGGGGCGGCGCGGGGGGCCCGGGCGGCGCCAGCGCGGCGCGGGCTGAGCCGGGCGGCAGCTCGCGGGGCCGCGCCGCGGGGCCTCCGGGAAGCGGCCGGCGGAGCGCGAGGCGGCGGAGGCCGCGATGGCGAACGCCAGCGAGCCGGGCGGCGGCGGCGGCGAGGCGGCCGCGCTGGGCGTGAAGCTGGCGGCGCTGAGCCTGCTGCTGTGCGTGAGCCTGGCGGGCAACGTGCTGTTCGCGCTGCTCATCGTGCGGGAGCGCAGCCTGCACCGCGCGCCCTACTACCTGCTGCTCGACCTGAGCCTGGCGGACGGGCTGCGCGCGCTCGCCTGCCTGCCGGCCGTGATGCTGGCGGCGCGGCGCGCGGCGGCCGCGGGGGCCCCGCCGGGCGCGCTGGGCTGCAAGCTGCTGGCCTTCCTGGCCGCGCTCTTCTGCTTCCACGCCGCCTTCCTGCTGCTCGGCGCGGGCGTCACCCGCTACCTGGCCATCGCGCACCACCGCTTCTACGCCGAGCGCCTGGCCGGCTGGCCGTGCGCCGCCATGCTGGTGTGCGCCGCCTGGGCGCTGGCGCTGGCCGCCGCCTTCCCGCCCGTGCTGGACGGCGGCGCCGAGGGCGAGCACGCGCCCTGCGCCCTGGAGCAGCGGCCCGACGGCGCGCCCGGCGCGCTGGGCTTCCTGCTGCTGCTGGCCGCCGTGGTGGGCGCCACGCACCTGGTCTACCTGCGCCTGCTCCTCTTCATCCACGACCGCCGCAAGATGCGGCCCGCGCGCCTGCCGCCCGCCGTCAGCCGCGACTGGACCTTCCACGGCCCCGGCGCCACGGGCCAGGCGGCCGCCAACTGGACGGCGGGCTTCGGCCGCGGCCCCACGCCGCCCGCGCTCGTGGGCATCCGGCCCGCGGGGCCCGGCCGCGGCGCGCGCCGCCTGCTCGTGCTGGAGGAGTTCAAGACGGAGAAGCGGCTGTGCCGGATGTTCTACGCCGTCACGCTGCTCTTCCTGCTGCTCTGGGGGCCCTACGTGGTGGCCAGCTACCTGCGCGTGCTGGTGCGGCCGGGCGCCGTGCCGCAGGCCTACCTGACGGCCTCCGTGTGGCTCACCTTCGCGCAGGCCGGCATCAACCCGGTGGTGTGCTTCCTCTTCAACCGGGAGCTGCGGGACTGCTTCCGGGCCCAGTTCCCCTGCTGCCCGGGCCCCCGCGCCCCGCAGGCCGCCCTCCCCTGCGACCTGAAAGGCATTGGTCTGTGAGGGCTCCGCCTCGGACGCCAGCCCTCCCCGTGGCCTGGACTCAGACGCGGCTCTTGCGCGCTGCGCCCTCTTAACGGTCTCACTGCCTTCACCGGACGGCGCCGCACCGGACTCCTTCAGGGGAGAGGGTTTCCATCTCCAGCCCACCCTCCTCCGTTCGTGCTTCTCCTAAATATATATTTTCATCCGGACAATGGGCCCGCGGTCTTTGTATTGGTACTGATGTCTTCTACTCCATGTTATTACTTTTGAAAATAAAGGCTAAACTAATTTTCCTCATGCAACGTTTCCTAAAGACCAGGCCAGTTTTCTACAGAAGCTATTTTTGACAACCTCAAGTGGCATTACCCTTTGCAGTGGAGAAAAGGAACCCAGGGCACTTGGAAAGCCGCTTCCTGAGGGTCTTCTGTTGGAAGCCAGAAGGGGGTGGGGCGGGGCGGGGAATTGTCAAGTTCCCTCTCAATGGCCAGCCTTGGAGAGAGCCCTGGTTCTCTGAAATGTGGAGAACTCTGTTCCGTGTTGAAATGAATGTAAATAGTGGCAACCGAGTGGCTAGCAAGGCAGTTGCACCGGCAGTGAGGAGGGACTGGTTTCCTGTTGCTGTGTCCGCCTAGAAAGTGCAGCCAGTGACAGCTGCCCTCTGCATGGTACCGATCTTGGCTGGAAATATTTCTGTGGAACTGTAGCTTTCAAAAGTTAAAAGGTGTTTTGGTTAGTGACGGTGGAGAAAATACAGTATTGCATGTTTCTGTGTGTGCTGCTGTGGTTCACTGATGGGGCAGGGGCTCCAAGAAGCAGAGTATAAATCAAAATTGTTTGGCTGTTTTTTTGCCAATAAAAATTAAAACAATTTTATGGAAACAGCTTGTGCTTTAAGGAGTCCAGTTTTATTCTGGCTTATGAATTTCCACTTTGAAAATTGTTCTTTTGTTCCTGGTATAAATGAATGGCATATAATGATACTCTACTTCTGGAGACACATGTTTCCTGAAAATGTTTGCTAGGTTAAGCTGTGCTGTTCTACTGACAGTTATTTTAAAGTACTAATGAGAACTATAATTTCAAATAGTATTTCTTTGTTAGACACATTGTAATCTTATATTGAAAGACTAAATTCTGCAAGTGCTATATAATTTTGCTCATAATGCTCCATTTTTATTAATGTTCCTTCTGTGTTGAGGATTTATATCTGTATTTCTCTTTGCATTATACAAATATATGAGTATTTTCACTCTGGAGTATTCTGTTGTTGTGTGAGGCTGTGACTGGTACTAACAGACATCTCAGAATGGTACTCATGTCTGATGGCCTTAGTGAGTGTCCTAGTTGACCATCAACATCTGTAGCATCTGGAGGCTTGTCACTTAAAATGCACAAAAATCTGCAAATCTCTTTAAGGGGAAGAAGCAGTGGACATACTTATAAAACATGAGCAAAGTCATACTTTTAATTAAAATTGCATGTAGTAAATATGTTGAAATTTATTTTAGTTGAGCATCATATGAACTATTAAATGTTTGTTCCAAAAGGGATGTCATAAAAGGGTATAGCCACTTTAATCTACCTTTGGTAAATGGTCAGCATTGTTTTATTTTCTAAAAGTCAGTTAGTCTGTGCAGACAGTCTCATGTTTGGGAAATCTGGATAACGCTTACCAGGCCCTAAGACCCAGCGGTGTTAACCATGCAGGACAGTCCTTGGAAACCTCGCCCACCTGAAGACAGGGGCCGGGAAAGCCACTCTCCCCTCCTCCGCCCCGCCCACCAGCTGGTCCCAGTTCACACACTGGACGCCAGTGAGCCTGCGTGACATTTAGAATATCGGGCGCCGGGCACGCACAGGCATGGGCCGCACAGCCCTGCCTGGCAGCAGCCCGACGGAGGCAGCCTGCGGGCTCTGTGTGGCCTCGAGCTGACAGGAGCGTCTGTATGACAGCGATTCTCACATTTTAACACAGAATCCGTGTCCCTGCTTGTGGGCTGAGCGGTTCTGTTAGGGAGGATTGGGGTGGAACCAGGAGAGCGTTTTTGCCAAGTTCCCCGGAGGCTGGAGGCAGCCCTCCAGCCGTTGTTCACACAAGACTCCCCTTAGCCAGCCTGTGGACACCCCCGGCTGTCTGGTTTGGTTTTATTCTGGTTAGAGGGCGATTCCAGTGAGCGGAGAGGGGCAGAGAGACGCAGCGGGGCAGGGAGGGAGAGAAGGGCCGGAGAGAAGGGTCGCCTAGGGCGCACTCTCCAGAGGAAGGCCGAGCACTCAGCGGCTTCTGGGTCAATGAGTCTGTTCCCTGGACTTCGAGTGTGAACCTCACATCAGGCAGGGGCCGGTGTGCTTAGAATTCTCCTCATCGCACCTACAGGTCCGCTTGGACGCTGTCTGTGGTTTGGGAAGTCAGCGCAACGCCCCTCGCCTGCCAGGTGAGGAGGGTCCCTGCCTGAGGTCAAGAACATCGGTCCAGGCATGTCCTGGAGAGAATTTATTGAGGCAAAAATGAACATTTTGGGTCTATTGATCACTCAAATGTCTTTTCAAAAAGATCATGTCTGTTTACATTTCCACCTATGTGCATTTTTTTTTTTTTTTTTTTTTTTTTTTTTTTTTTTTTTTTTTTAGAAAATGAAATACCTCAAGCAAAACGGGGAAGCATACAACAAATCAGTAACCATGGTGACGAGCAGGCTCTCTGGAGCCACTCTCCTGCCTTTCAAAGTCTGCTGCCACATTCGTTTTACTTTTCTCTTGCTCGTGTTCCTTTCCTTTATATTTTTCTTTCCTCCCTCTCGCCTTCCTTCCCTTCGTCCTTCCTGTGTCTTCTCCCTCCATTTATTTTTCCTATTTTTTAAAAAAAGAAATAAAACCGTTACTCCTGCCAAGTCTTTGGTCTCACCATCAGGCTTCTACATTCTCAAATGTCCTGCCCTTACGATGTGCCTGGTCCGGGTGCCAGGGCTGGATCAGGGATTAGTTTTGCAGGTGCCTCTCCGAGGTGGGGGGGCTGGTTCCCCTGGGCGGCCGAAGAAGGCCGTCATGCTCTGGCCTCATCCGCATTGGTGTCTGCATCTCTCTTTCCTGGTTGCATTCGCTCTCCAGGAAAGCCCATGCGCCTTCCCTGCCGGAACTCCGTCTGTCCGGGGCGGAGGCAGTCCTCACCACAGTCCATGACTGACGTGGCCCTGGCGGAACTCACCTGCCCAGCCATGGCCCGGGCCCGGGCTGAACACCAGTCTGTCCTGGACTCAGATCCACGGCTCTGGACGTCCTTCTCTGCCCAGCCTCCCTCCCCGGGCTCTCATGGCACACTGAGTTATCTCCACCCATCTCAGGGCCTGCCATCTGCCCGCTCCCTCTCCGTCCTACGTTCTCTGCTCCCCCCTCAGGTCTGCACTGCAGCTGCTGCAGCTCACCGGCCATGCCCTGACCAGGTCACACTGTGCTGCACCACCATGCCTTCCATTTATTGTTTCTTGTGTTCAAAGTCTTCACTCCCTTTCCCAGCTCACCTGCCGTTCAGCTTTCCGGGTGGCACTTGTAGCCAGTTACTGAGCTGGCCCTGCAGGCGGGGACGGTGTTCCCACGCAGACCCTGCAGACATCCCACGGCTTCAGATTTAGTCACTAGAAGTGTGTGCATGGAGGGTGGGTCTCACACGGTGGTCTGGGTGGCTTTTTAAGTGGTTTGTGCACTGACATGGCTGGTGTGACCAAACGCAGTGTTGTTCTCAGCACACACCGCTGAGGCCTGGCTCAGCACCGTGGCCTGCAGGACGCCCTCTGTGAGGGGAGGGGATGACACACCACGTTTCAGACCCAACGCCACAGCCTCTGTCTGGCCTATTAACTGCTTCTGGAGTAAGCCGAGTAAAAACAAACTGGGTCTGAGTTCAAGGGGTTCTTTATGCTTTTTCTCCAACGTGGGCAAGACTCTGGGGTCTGACCCAGACCGTGCAGTGAGCCCTTTTGCCCTCCCTCTTCTTCCCCTTCCGGGTGTTGTGGTGAGGATGTGGTGCAGGCCACAGCCGCTGTCCTGCAGCTATGAAAGGAGATGCTGTTAATACAGGAAAGACAGAGGTCAGGGGACAGAAAGAGCCGCACCCTCATTAACACCGCTGAGCGGCTAACGAGACGGAACTGCTATGTCCAGACTGCTGGCTGTGAAGTCACATCCACTATGGCTTCCCAAGTTAGCACTCAGGGGACCTGTCATTAAAGCAGCCATTAGCCACAGCATGCCCATCCCCTCCACTCTGATAGGTGTGCTTGATATTCTGGAACCGTAGTCACACATTTTTAATTTTTAAAAAAATATATTTTATTGATTTTTTTACAGAGAGGAAGAGAGAGGGATAGAGAGTTAGAAACATCAATGAGAGAGAAACATTGACCAGCTGCCTCTTGCACACCCCCTACCGGAGATGTGCCCGCAACCAATGTACATGCCCCTGACCGGAATCGAACCCGGGACCTTTCAGTCCGCAGACCGATGCTCTACCACTGAGCCAAACCAGTTTTGACTGTAGTCACACATTTTTAAAAATTAGACTTACTTAATTTACTTTCTCCAACTCTCAGGTCATTCAGTCTGCTACTAACCATTGCACTAGCCTGGCGCTGGACGCACCAGCTAGCTATGACTTGATTTCTTCGATTGAACTAAGTCTGAATGATTAAAAATTGCACTTTGTAAACTTTTTGATACATGAGACCAGCTGCACTGATTTGGAAGACTCTCTGAACGGACCCAGGTGATCAGCAGGCATTGCAAGCCCGAGCAGCCAGCGTCTCTGTGGGCAGTGCAGGAGCAGGGTGAGGACGCCCAGTCGCCTTGCCAAGGAGTTAGCGAGCTCATGGGAGAAGTCGGCCTGCGGGCCCCAAACCATAAAGCAAGGCAGAAGGTGACAGGTGCGGGAAGAGGGGTTAGATGAGGAGCTGGGTGAGGAGACCAGACACCGCAGTAGATTGAGAAGTGCTGAGAAGCAGGGAAAGCAGAGGCGTCTCTCTGACTCC